GGGGTCGCTATGAGTCGGTTCCGACTCGATGGCACCTGACAACAACAACAACTGACAACAACCATAATAAGTCTGTGCTTTAACTTTTTAAGAAACTGCCAAGCTGTTTATTGTACCATTTTACATTTCACCAATTTGTATCAGTGTTCCAGTTTTTCCACATTCTCCACCAACATTTTATTGCCTATAAATTTTATTTTAGTCACTGAACAGTTGTAAAGTGATAATTCATTGTGTTTTTTTGTTAGTGAGTAATGAGATTGGGCATCTTCTCAAATAAGTGTCGTTGGCTGAAGTCAGTTCTGACTCAAAGCGCCCCTTATATGGAGTTCCCGAGGCTTTAAATCTGTGCAGGAGCAGAAAACCTCATCTTCCTCCCACTTCAACTGCTTATCGGCTATTTATCTTCTTTGGAGAAGTATCAGTTCAAGTCATTTTTTTTTTTCTTTCCCCAATTTTCTCACTTGCCCATTATTAAACTGGATGATTTGGTCTTTTTTATGGTAAGGATTCTTCATGTATTCTAAGTGAGGTTTCATTATCATATATATTATCTGCAAATACTTTCTTCTGTGACTTGCTTTTGAAATTTCTTTTTAGTTTAAATATATTTATATCTTTAACCAACTGAAATAACTCATTCTATAAATAAACTGGTCTCTCAGTAGCAAGCGGATAAATTTCAAACAAATACAAATAGAGTACCTCAGCGAAGTGCTACTGTTGGCAGTAGTTTCCACACCAGTACTGATCTCTGTCATCAGGTCTGAGAGGGGAAAGTTTTCTGGAAGAAAATAACAGTGTTAGAATGAACATCTCCCTCATTTTCCCCAAACAAGAAATTAAATCTCTTAATCTCTTAATACAAGCGGGCTACAAATATGTGAGCTGTGCTATCCGAAATATGAAGATAAGTCAAAAGACATTGCTGCACAGGTTCCAATTCCTATGTGCATGAGTTTATTTCCTATGTGCATGAGTTTATTCCAAATGAAACCAGTTTAAACATGTCTCTGACATCAGTGGATGGCTGCAGACAAATTCTCTCGGTAACATACACTTGTCTTAGTTTCATTAGAGTGCCTGCAAAAATAAAGGTCTAATCAAAACAACGGCTTCCAAAAGGATCTGTTGGGCCAGTTACATTCCAGGCAGGGTAGACAGCTCAGAAGGTTATGGGAACTGGTTTTCAGGATTCCAAAGGGGCAATCTTGATACATTTTCTAGAAGCACACTGAAGATTAGAAAGAAGTTTTAAAAAGACAAAAACTGAACTGGTGTGAAAAGGCTAGGAAAGTTGTGCCAAGGGATTTTTTTCCCCCCATGAGGAAAACTAGCTGCTCATTCCTCAAGGGCAGCAAAAGGCTATCCTACAAGAATTTCATTGGGAAGTCTACACCATTTATCCTAAGCCCTGATCTTGCCCCTTTAGTTTTTTTTTGTTAAAAAAATCCAAAGAACATTGAAAAACATGATTTGAGTCCTTTGAGGATGCCAAAACTGGCATTTTGATGAGGTTTAAATCAAGCTCAGAATCCTTTGGGAAAGAGTTAAGAAAGATGGAAACACTGCTGTCAGAAAGGTGTAGACCTAGAAGGTGGATATGTAGATAGATAAATGATAGCTTCACATTTTGATTATTTTTGTTTAATAAAGGTTTCTATGATTTTGTAGCAATACTTTTTGACTTACTCTTGTATGTAACTCGAATTCCACACATACATACAAAATTCTTCCTCAGGAAAAATTTTGGTTAAGTTCATCTAAAGCAAAGTTTTCAGAGAACATGACTGGTAGTCTTTCAGGGGTTGCTTGGACAGTAACTATCACATCTTCCCACAAACTCTGAGATTCTAAGCTAAGTATGCATTTCAATGCTCTTAGGCTACATACATAGAAATTACAAGAAACGTCAATCCACAGCAGAGTTCTGAGGGACAGACTAACTTGTACATTGAAACTAGGCTGTTGGGTGTACCAGGGAGGGCGGTGAATGAAGCGCTCCCCTGTTCCAAAACCCTGGGGTAAAACCAACTGGCAATAAGCCATTAACTGTGACACTAATTATGAACAGTCAAGGGTTTTACATTCATTAGCCTCTTAAATCTTCACAATTATGAAGTAAGTGTCATGGCTGTCCCCATCTGGTGGTGCAATTTTAATCACTGATCTGCTAAAAGAAAGGTCTGTAGCTTGCATTCACCATTGTCCCATAGGAGAAAAGAACTGGCAATCTGTTCCTGAAAACACTACAGCCTTGGGGAGGCTATGGGGCAATTCTAGAGAGTCTGTCCTATAGGCTCACTGAGTCAGAATTAACTTGATGGTATACAACAACAGTCCAAGTCTTAAGAAACTACTTGACTTAATGAAATTACGTAACTTGGGTACAAACTCAGTTTGCTGAACTCCAGACTCAGTCCTTGACCACCGTGCACATGCCTCTTTCTTTAGACATTTTGTCAGTCATGATTGTTCTGTTATCCTTATGGACAAAGTCCTTATACAGTACCTATGTCATCATAGCGCTCCACCCAGACTATGGAAACTCTGGTCTCAGGTCCTAGGGGAGGTACAGGGCGACCCTGAGGCAGCTTCTTCATTCTGGAACTGGGACTGAGCTATATGAGGTAAAGAAAACAGAAAAAAAAAAAGGGGGTCGGGGGCAGAGTTGACTTAATAAAAGTACCCAGGCATTAAAAAAAAAAAAAAAAAAACCCAGTCATGCACTTATCAAGTGACGGATGAGAGAGAAATAAGGAAAACATCAGGTCAGGGGAAATCACCTCAGGCAAACAGTGTGATGTATTTTATTATTATTTTTTTAAAGTCACTTAGTCCTTTAATCTCTTAAATCTAATACCTAAAAAATGAACAGAAATTTACAGGCTTCTTATTGCACGTCTTACATCTCACATGGACTTCTACATTCTGCTAAACTGATCTAACAACAACATGTTTTGGTTGTAAAACAATTTACTAAAGGCACTATTTTTAAACATCAAAATAAATGTTACCAATAAAAGGTACATTATTGTAAACATGACAAAATGATTTCAAGAGATATATGGCTAGTAGATAAACAATACAATTTTTTTCTTAAGTGACAGCTTTCCCATTTACAAGCGTACATCCCTCCCAGCCATTTCAGGGGCATGCATTGATACCAATGCTCCCAACAGTTCCTTTGGAAGGGAACTGGAGCTCACAATTGGTTTGAGATCATTACTACTGAAGAAGTCTTAGGAAGCGCCAAAGTTCTCCACTCACAGGGATCAATTCCCACCAAAAAGGAATGGACTCAAAACCCCACAGGAGCTAGCTAAAGGGCCCAAACTCTGCAACAAGTCCAGGTATGAATTGACAAGTTTTGCCACTAGCACAGCATCCCAGAAAATGGGAAAATAATTGGAAGGTAGCTATTTGAACATTGTTGCTGTTGTTAAGCACCGTGGAGTCGGTTCCGACTCATAGTGACCCTACACAGGGTTTCCAAGGTTGCAAATTTTTACGGGAGCAGAAAGCCCCATCTTTCTCCCGCAGAACATTAGCACCATAATAAACATGGCTCATATGGCTAACAGCTAGATTGTATATCCCAAAAGATGACATTCATATATGGCTCTAATGCTGAAAGAGCAGCTTTTTAATATAATAAATGACGCAGATGTACAGAAGCCATAGGTTTCTCCTCCTATGAGGAAAAAAAAGTTAAAATACAAACTAAATAATAGCATCCTAGAGGCAAGAAATATGTTGCTAAAGCATACAAAGTAAGGTTTTACACCTTGGTACATAACAAGTTTTGAAATTAAATTGGAACACTCCCAACAAATCATTTTCATATAAGAATTCAAGCTATTTTAAAGAATTGGTTGTTGTTAAGTGCCGTCGAGTCGGTTCCGACCCATAGTGACCCTGAACAGGGTTTCCGAGGCTGTAAATCTTTACGGGAGCAGAAAGCCTTATCTTTCTCCCATGGAGCAGCTGGTAGTTTTGAACTGCTTACGTTGCGGTTCGCAGCCTGATTCATAGTGGGGTTCAATTTAAACAGTATTATACATCTTACATTCTACTTAGTCACTGAGCTGCTAGGAGTGTCACTGTCACCTTATTTCCTGAGATTACATGAATACAAGCCAGTCAAGGGGGTGCAGTATGTCACAGAATTTGGCTCACTTAATGAAAAAGTCAATTTAGCTTTACTAACTAGAACAAGATCCAAACATAGGATGTTTCCCTGATATTCTTTGTTTTTGTGGCTTTAAATGCCCTTTTGGTCTTTTGACTAAGCTGAATGTTTCCCAATAAAAACTACCACGGACAAGTTCACGCTGTGGTCCCGTGGATCTGTGTCTTGCTTCAACAGTGTTTGGACGGAACAGATCTGTCGACTCTCCACTTCCAGCCTCGGACCACCTCTAACAACTTCTTTAGGCACAGTCTCTTCTCCGGGACCATCTTCTTGAGCATTCCCTGTTACCAGGACCAGGTAAACACCATTTTTTTTGTGTGTGTGTGTGTGTGTATATATATATATATCTCCAAATCTTCGACCAACCATGAGCTATCAGATCCGTCACAATTATTCTGCTGAAGTGGAGGCCGGCATCAACCATCTGGTTAATCTGCATCTGCAGGCCTTTTACACTTACCTCTCTTTGGGCTTCTATTTCGATTACAATGATGTGGCTTTGGAAGGTGTGGGATACTTCTTCCACGAGTTGGCAAAGGACAAGCACAAGGGTGCTGAGCATCTCTTGAAACTGCAAACCCGGTGTGGTGTGTACTCTTCCAGGACATGCAGAAGCCCTCCCAAGATGAGCAGGGAAGAACCCTGGATGCCATGGAAGCTACCCTGGCCCTGGAGAAGAACCTGAACTAGTCTCTTCTGGATCTGCATGCCATAGGTGCTACCCACACAGACCCAACCTCTGTGACTTTCTGGAGAATCATTTACTAGATGAGGAGGTGAAAATTATGGCCGGTCCCCAGGTAGGGCTGGGCAAATACCTCTTCAAGAGGCTCACTCTCAAGCACGACTAGGAAGAGCCTATGGAGCCCCACACCTGTTTAGGGCCTTTCAGCATTCCCCTGCTCTCAGCAGACCTTCTGCCTGAATCTTGCTCTCCAGACACAGAGATAGCATACTCAATGCCCTAGAATCCCTCTTCTCCCAAGCTGTGGACCAAATGAAAACAATACAGCTTTCTTTTACAGCAAACAACAACAACAACAAACTAACTAGAACAAGAGCACCATTCCCATTTACTAAATCAAGATATCAAGTATGAAAAATGTTTCTAAAATTCATGTTCTCAACTGCTGGATCTTTCTAATGTCAGGAGGTGGGGAAAGACAACAGACTAACATAGTCCTATTCAGAAAACAAAATATTCCTAAAAGGTGTTCATGCATGACAAAAAATTAGTCTCGCACTTTATGTATTTGTACATTTTTTTTCAGCCACATGTCAGTGTGTTTCAGTGTAGACGTCTAAATCCAGACAAAAGATTCTACATTATCCTACATTAAGTTTAGCTTATTTCCTGTTCAGAATTATACCATAGATATTGAAGTGTAGCTCTCAGATCTGAAAATGTGTATTTTAGAAAATGGATTTCAGGAAAGTTAAAAAGCAATACCAGAAGGTATAGGTACAGAATTGGTTGTAGTCATTCAAAGTATCCAAGTAGGAATATACTAATGTAAATATCTGAAAAGCATCTTGTAAGTGTTCCAAACAAAATGTGTAACTCATTCTTAACTGATTTGAGCTTTGTAGCATTCTCCTAGGTGGGGGTGGGGGGAGTTAACATTCCTGAAAGTCCTGAAAAGTTTTTCCTTAGTTAATTACATTAGAAGATTTGCCTTTGATTATATTTCTTATTAAACATGGATAAAAGTATTACATAGGTCCACTGTTAAAACAGACAATATGTTGCACATTAAATCTGGTATAATGTATTCCAATAAAGATTAGAAAATAAAGGTGTTGAGATGGCTTCTGAACTTAGTTTAATAGTCATCTCCTCTGCTGACCACTTCTTTACATGATGGACCTAACAGTATGGTATGTTCAAATTGCGCTGTGTATGATCCTTTAATGTCACTTAATGGTGGATACGGATCTACAATGCCCGTTACAGAGATTCTTCAGAGCCATCAAGTATTTACTTTCTCTCAAGTGATCCAGCCATTTGCGGCAGAAAACAAGGGTGCCAAAGTTTTCATTAATGACATTCAACAAGTGTTCTATTCTTGGGACCTTATTGGCATATGTCCAACATCAAAATTTTTCAGGTAATGGGAGCATTCCATATCATCATGAACCACTTCCTTTCCTGTGATACCAAAAGTTTCAATGGCATGCATTTCTCCTTCCTCCATGCTTGTTGCCTCTCCTCCTTTCACAATGGACACTGTTTTCCCTGCATGTATTCTATATGGCCTGATTGAATGTCCATTTAGATTACAAATTGGTTTCACTTGATTTGATAAGCCTTCCCATCTATTTCAACTTCATAGGATTCCGTAACTTTTTTTTTTTTGATTCCATAACTTCTTGTATAGCCTCACCAACATCACACAGATGAACATCAATTCCACTGTTAGTGGCATCTTTTACAGCTTTTAACAATATATCATATTTGGGATTAAATGTGACTGTAAAACCATAATCAATAATCCCACCACTTATGTGTGTTCCAAAGTCTATCTTACAGATGTCATCATACTGTAACACTGTCTGTTGTGTCACCAGCATTGGGAGTATAATGGGCTTCACAGTTATTGAGAGAACACCCAGTAGGAAACGCCAGACCTGCGTTCAAGCCATTCTCTTTGATTAGTTTGTATAAACAGTCTTGTAACTTTACACATATTTCTATCATTGTCATCCCAGGCTTGACTTGCTGATGTGCTTCTGAAGCTTCACGAAAATCATTTCAAATCTCTTCACTGGCTTGAGCTAATGCTTTATTTTGTTCACTTGTAGTTCACCAAGCAGCTGTTTGCCCATCTTGTGTGGGTGGGTACTCGCACTCTTGTCCTTTGGGAAATACACCATTATGAAACAGGTCACATATTGGAAATGAGGGAGGATATGTTTGAACTTTTGGTCCTTTTTTCTTCTTCTACTTGCCAGTTGCTCCATCTCCATCATCATCTCTTTCTTTCTCTTCCAGTACTTGTCTTTCCGATTGTCCTGCTACCCATCAACTAAGGCTCCTGATTCTTTATCAGTTTCTTGTTGTCCTGCATCTGACCCTTTACTCTTCTTTCATTTTTTTTTTCTTAGCTGCCTCCACATTCGTAGAGGCAGCTCCCTCCTTCCTGTCATCAAGGTCCAAGTCGCCATTCAGGTGGCCCCCAGAGGTTACTGCCTCCACCGTCATGTTGCCTGAGAGAGTGTGAGAGAGACAGCGTGGCAAGGGCCCGCTCCATTACCCACCTAAACCAGAGATCTAGAAGCTGCTCTTGTGATGTATTTTTAAAGCAGCTCTTCTTTGGCTCCCATTCCCTTTATTAATCTAACTTAAATGAAGGAAATGAACATTTTAAATTGTCCAAAAAAAGTAATAATTTTTGAAACAAGACTCTGGCTCTTTGCGTTCAATATCAATGAGGGATGACAAGAATTCAAGTCTATGGTCAGAAAGCAGTATGCTTTCCCCATCACAAAACACTATTATTTTGCCTGGGAATCCTCATTTTTAAACTTCCCCCAGTTATTCCCAGTGTCCAGACCTAATGTTTCTAACTGTAATCTGTGCCTAACTCCCTTTTCTCGTCAGTTGAAAGAAAAGCATTGCCTAGCCCTTTCCTATCCTATCATGCAGCTTGGCTCCCTGCCCACCCAATCAGTATTTACATTTCGCCACAAGGCTAGAGGGACTAAATGGCCCCCTGCAGCACAAGAAAATGACTTAGATGATGCAGCAGAGTTGAATATGTACAAGACCCCTAACCAAAGCTCATGTATGCAGAGCGGAGACTCTCAACTTAAACTGAATTTAAAAATAAAACTGCTACCCTTCCAAGACTAAGACTCATAGGGAATACACGAGCAGGCATAGGGTCTTGCTGCTGAGCATGTTGGTCACACCGATAAGGGGAAGTGGGGGAAAAACAGCAATGAAGTTGTGAACTAAGTCCGACCACGTTCAACAGACTCCTGTGTCAACCTGGGTTGATACATGGTTGGCCCGCAGTATGGCGAGACTTAAGAACTCCTGGGCCCAGGGACAGAGACATGGCCACAGAGGACTAAGCAGCGAGTAAAGTGTCCAGCTGATATGAAGTGAGGGGAGATGCTCAAGAACACCCATACTTGTAGATAGTACCCATTTGACCTGTCTTCAATGGCTGGATGACCAGAACTTGACTAGAGGAAGAAAGAAAAGGAAAAAAAAGAGTAATCCACTACAATTTGATGAACTTGACCTATGCTTGCGGATGTAGTAGCTCAAAAGAGGGTATAAAAGCCTTAATAGCAAGGATTATTCCCACCTCCTCGGTAAACACGGTTGACAGGGATGGGCAACTTAGATATTGGTTACCCCAAATGGGGGGGGTGGTGGTGCTACAAAGGCACGAAGTGACTGGCTTACAAGCTTTCAAGAGGGAGCCTAGTTTCAGAGGGTGCAGGGCAAGGTAGAATCTTTACCGAGTAGTTTCCAACCTGTCTGGACAGGGCTGGTGAAAGGAGATGGGGGATAAGACTCTTGTGGTTCAACAGTGAATAATTGCTATCAAGACTGATTGCGAGCGTTGCAAATGTAAAGGGAGACGTTTTGTAACAAAAGAGGAGAGTGGTTGATCTTGCAGTCTAGGACCCGAGGACCCTGGACCATCAAGGGAGAAGAGCGGAGTGTGGGACCCTATCCAGAGAAGCAGCGACTCCAGAGATGGAAGATGATGATGAGGTGAAGAGATGGAGCAGCTGGGGACTCTGGAAGGGAAAGAGTCTGTGTGTTGACGGCGAGGGGGCAGGCTTGCGGGGTGTGCCCTTTGGCTGTTTGATGTTGCATGCAGGGAACTGTAATCATTGCAATGCAATGAAATAAGATAGGGTGAATATAAAGCTAATGTTCTCCCATGTAAACTATCACATAATTCACAATAAAAACTTAATAAAATAGCTTTTTTTATAGCATAGAAATAAATGATTTTTTCCCAGACAACCAGAGATCATGGCAAGGCCTCCAGATTCTCTGTCTCTATTCTAGGGTGTTCACAGAAAATGACTTGGACCAAGAAATTCTCCCACTTACTGGAATAGCCAAAATTAAAAAGATAATAATAGTTATTGGTGAGGATAGGAGCAGTTGGAATTTTCAAACACTACTGTCATGAAAACTATTTGGCTTCTTAAAGAGGCATATATATCCTTCCTTCCTTTCTCTCTCTCTTTATATTTATTCTCTCTTTATATATATATATATATAGTGGTTATGTGCCGTGGAGTCGGTTCCTACTCACAGTGTTTCCGAGGCTGGGAATCTTTACAGGAGCAGAAAGCCTCATCTTTCTCCCGCGGAACAGCTGGTAGTTTCGAACTGCTGACCTTGCAGTTCACAGCCTGACTCGTAACCACTACGCTACCAGAGCTCATATATATATCCTATCTATCTATCTATCTATCCTTAAAGAGTTATATATATCCTTGTATACTTCTTAAAAAGGTATATATATCCTCCTATCATAGAACCCAAGGAGCTCTGGTAGCATAGTGGTTATGAATCGGGCTGCAAACTGCAAGGTCAGCAGTTCGAAACTACCAGCTGTTCCGCAGGAGAAAGATGAGGCTTTCTGCTCCCATAAAGATTTACAGCCTCGGAAACCCTGTACAGGGTCATTGTGAGTCGGAACCGACTCTACGGCACGTAACAACAACAACATCATAGAACCCAATCATAACTCTTGGGTAATTTCCCCAGAGAAATGAAAACATATTTCCACACAAAAACTTGTTCATGAGTGCTCAGAAGAATTGGCTTTTTTATAGACTTTTGCAAGCTGATTATTTGTATAATATGGATATATAAAGGTCCTAGAATAGTCAAAACAATTTCAGAAAAAAACAACCTTCCTGATTTTAATCTTTTCTTTAAAATTATAATTATCACCTTATAAAATTGGCATACAGACTGACAGATCAAGGGAACATAACAGAATCCAGAAATAAACCTATATATATATATGTTCAATTGATTTTTAACAAAAATGCCACAGTTATTTGATGGAGAAAATGGAATCTTTTCAACATATTAGAATCATACATTCAGCCACACTTAGAGACTATATTCTTGTAGCCTCCTAAGCAGCTTTTGAGACATTCCCAATATCCCAAAAGTCCAGCTTTCTGAATTCACAAATTTTCTTATCCATATAATAATTGCAAATGCAAAAGCAGTTATGATCCACTGAGTATCTGCACTATGCCAGGCACTGTGCCAAACAGTTTACTTCAGTTTTTTACTTAACCTTACCAACCTGGTGCCATAGGTTTTTACTTGGATCTCTCTGGTGGCTAATAAAGGTATCTTTCCAAGCACTTACTAGCCATCAGCATATATTCTTTCCTAAAGTCTTTCAAAGAGCAAAAGGTTTAATTTTAATCTAGCTCAAATGCCCAATTTTTTTTCTTTAGTTCATTTTTTTTTTGCATTCTAAGAGATCTTTGCTAACACCAATGTCACTAAGATTTTTCTCCTATGTTTTGTCAGAAGTGTTGTTCTTTTAGCTTCTATTTTTAGAATTATAATTCACTATGAGCAAACTTTTGTGAGTGGTGTGAGGTAAGAATGTGGTTATTTTCCCATATAAAAATCCAATGGTTTTAGCACCATTTGTCAAAATGACATAATTCCTTTCTCCACTGAAGTGCCTTGGCACATTTGTCAAAAATCATGTGTGGAATCTAATGCTGGTTTCTTTATTCTGTTTTATTTATCTGTATGTCTAGCCTGTCACCAATATTACTGTCTTAATAACTAGCATTTTATAATAAATTGTGAAATCACATCAAGGCCTCCACTTTTCTATTTCAAAACTCATTGGTTATTCGAATATATTTTCTTTTCCATATAAGTTTTAAGATCAGCTTATAATATCTTTAAAAAATATACTGAGAATTTGCTTGCGATTCCATTAATGCTACAGATTAAGTCAAGAAGAAGTGATAACTTAAAAATATTCTGTCAATTGACAAACATGGGATAGCTGAATATTAGAGATTTGACTAAAATCCTTCATTAGCACCTGACATTAACTTGTTTACCTCCAAACTGTGAGACTTCTTTTAATGTAACAACTCCTGATTTTCAAAATTGGTCTAAGTCATAAAGTGTAATACAACTTGATTTTTTTTCCTTTCTGAATCAATTTACAAGGTAAAAATCTCTCCCAGATTCTCTCTCAAGAGCTTACTTATATTAAAACTTATTTTCACTGTGGAAGGAGCCAAATTAAATTCCTGTACAGTGGAAGAACTTCCTATTTCATCTTTTCTCTTTTCTATTATCTGTTCTAAATTTATCATCTTACATTTCTGAATGATCCTGTATTCTCAGTCACTTCCCAGTAAAGATCAAGAAAAACACAGATAACAAAGAAACAACATCTGCTAACAAGGTAAGAAGAAAGTATAAACAAAAACTCTCTTCCTCTAGTAGCTGCTGCTGTCTGTCTCACTTGGTATATCCATGAATATACTGGGCAACTTTCTAAAACACTATTTGTAAAAGCCCCACTTGTTTAAGTGGAGTAATGCAAGACTGAAGATGTGGCATAAATAGCCCAAGCTGCACCTTTAATGCATACGCCAAAGCCTAATAAAAACCCTAGCTTGGGGAGGAATGGGTGAAGGGACCAAGCATGGCACAAGGAATGACAAACAGCGAAGGGTTGTCTTACTATGAAGTTACTTACTGCAGGCTGAAAAAAAGAAAATATTGAAGATTTGATTTTTAAAAATTAAGTTATTCATTTACTTACATCAGTTACTCTACTGTAATTACTCTCTAGGTTAAAGTTTATAGCTTTTTTAGAGATAGACCAACAAAGTGACTTACCCTCTGTGAGGAATTAAGATTGTCTGTATGATTGGGGAAAAGCTCAAGTGTCAGGGAGGGCTGTTTTAGAATTCCTGGCATAAGATCCATATTTGAATCACTATCTTGGTCCGAGATGTTACTTTCTACTGAATCAGCTATGAGGTAAAGAAAAAAAAAGTCAATCATAATACCTACTACCTTCTTTGGAGTAAAGATGTTTAAACTATGTGAACTAATCTAACCTAAGTGATCTAAACAAAACATTGTCTCTAGAGCAAGGGTTATACTAAGGGTCAGAACTGACTCAATGGTACTTGATAACAACAAAGTGCAAGGTTGGCAAGCTTTTACTGTTAAGGATCATGTCATATATATTTTAGGCTTTGTTGGTCATATAGATCTTTGTCGTGTATTCATATACCAATATATCTACACATACATATCTATCTATCTATCTATCTATCTATCTATCTATAGTCCTGGTGTAGTGTCACAGGATAATACACTGGACCGCAAGGTCAGTTTAAGCCACAAGGTTGGTGGTTCAAACTCACCAGCCACTCCTCAGAAACCCTATATACAGTCGCTATGAGACAGAACCAACTCAATGACACTTAACAACTATACACACACACACACTCCTGGTGTGGCACTGATCCACACTGGATGCAAGCCACCAAGGTTGGCAGTTCAAACCCACCAGCTGGTCCTTGGAAACCCTATACAGACTTGCTATGAGGCGCAACCAACTCAACAGCACTTAATAATGCATTATTTTTTACAATCCATTAAAAATGTAAAAACCACTCTTATGGACTGAATTTGGTCTACTGTTTCCTGGCTCCCGCTCTAAGGACAACTAAAATAAGACATGAAAACATTTGATTTCTTAGATGTAGAATATAATAAAAGCCATCTGTTATTCTCTGGAGTATTTTGATTATAAATTCAGTCATGCAGCACTATAGCAAGTAGGCACTGGTGCATCGCAAAGCTGCAAAGGACCTAGTCTCTGTGATTAAGGAGCAATCTAATTGGAGACAAGCACACAGAATGAAAAATAGAGAACTTATCAAGAAACAGGAGGAAGTTGAGTTGGAAGACGGGTGCAACTGGCATAAGGGATAAGTTTTGATTTACAAAAATGCAAAATTAGACTGAGTTCAGACTGGGAAGTCATCCTTAAGATTGTTGTTGTTGTCAGGTGCCATCGAGTCGGAACTGACTCATAGCGACCCCATGCATAGCAGAACGAAACAATGTCTGATCCTGGGCCAACCTCACTACCGCTGCCACACTTGACGCCGTCAATGACGCCACCTGGCTGATCCATCTCGTTGGGGGTCTTCCTCTTTTTCTCTGACCCTCCACCTTACCCAGCATGACACCCTTCTCCAGCGACTGTTCTCTCCGGACAATGTGTCCAAAGTATGAGAGATGAAGCTTAGCCATCTTGGCCTCCAAGGAGCACTCTGGTTGTATTTCTTCTAAAACAGATCTATTGGTTCTTTTGGCAGTCCATGACACTTTCAGTATTCTCCTCCAACACCACAACTCAAATGCATCAATTCTTCTACGATCTTCCTTATTCACTGTCCAGCTTTCGCATCCATATGAGGTTACTGAAAATACCATGGCTTGGGTCAGGCATACCTTAGTCCTCAAGCTGACATCTCTGCTCTTCAGTACTTTAAAAAGTTCCTGAGCAGCAGATTTGCCCAATGCAATACATCGTCTGATCTCTTGACCGCTGCTTCCGCGAGTGTTGATAGTTGATCCAAGAAGAATGAAGACCTTGACAACTTCAATCTCTTCTCCATTGATAAGAATGCTGTTTATTGGTCCAGTGGTGAGGATTTTTGTTTTCTTAACATTGAGATGTAATCCATATTGAAGGCTGTACTCTGTGATCTTCATAAGTATATGATTCAAGTCCTCTTCACTTTCAGCAAGCAAGGTTGTATCATCAGCATATCGCAGGTTGTTAATGAGTTTTCCACCAATCCTGACGCCACGTTTTTCTTCATAGAACCCAGCTTCTATTTGCTCAGCATACATATTGAACAAGAATGGTGAAAGAACACAACCCTGTCACACACCTTTCCCAATTTTAAAACATTCAGTGTTCCCATGCTCTGTTCAAACAAATGCCTCTTGGTCCAGGTACAGATTTCTCAGAAGTACAATTAAGTGTTCTGGAATACTCATACTTCTCAATGTTGTCCATAGCTTGTCATGATCCACACAATCGAAAGCCTTCACGTAGTCAATAAAGCATAGGTAAACAAACATCCTTCTGGTATTCTCTGCTTTCAACCAAGATCCACTGGACATCTGCAATGATATCTCTCGTTCCATGGCCTCTTCTGAATCCAGCTGGAACTTCTGGAAGTTCTCTGTCAATGTATGATTGTAGCCGTTTCTGTATTATCTTGAGTAAAACTTTACTCGCTTGAGATATCAAATAGATTGTCCAATGACTTCTGCATTCTGTTGGGTCACCTCTCTTTGAAATAGGCACAAATATGGACCTCTTCCAATCAGTTGGCCAGATAGTTGTCTTCCAAATTTCTTGGCAGAGATGAGTGAGTGCCTCTTGTGCCGTCTCACTTTCTTGAAAGATTTAAATTTTTATTCCATCAATCCCAGGTGCCTTGTTCTTTGCCAATTCTTTCAAGGCACTTTGGACTTCCTCCCTGAGTATCATTGGCTCTTGTTCATATGGTACCACTTGAAATGGTTGAACATTAACCATTTCCTTTTGGTACAATGACTCTGTGTATTCCTTCCATCTTTTCTTGATGCCCTCTGCATCATTCAATAATTTGCCCAGAGAATCCTTCAATAACCAAAGTCGAGGCTTGAATTTTTTCTTCAGTTCCCCCAGCTTGAGAAATGCTGACCGTGTTTTTCCCTTTTGATTTTAAATCTCTGCATATTTTATTATAGTATTTGGTTTTATCTTCTCGAGCTGATCTTTGAAATTTTCTGTTCAGCACTTGGACCTCTTCAATTCTTCCATTTGCTTTAGCTTCTCTACACTGGAGAGCAAGTTTCAGATTATTCTTACTTAAAATTAATACTTAAGATTACTCCTAATCCTTAAGAACAGTCTGATTGCCATCTTTTCTAGATTTGCTACCGTTTCTCCCGCTCAGGGTTAGGAGATCAGCTCCATAGCTGTTACAAGATCCTTTTAGTTACAGGAGTCTATGGGGTTTCATATAAGGGTCTCACGTGGAAATAAGGAAATAGGCGTGTACTCATAATGAAAGAAATGTACTAACTGGAAAACAGGATTTTTAATGTATTGATTTAATTAATTAAACTAAAGAAATCCCAAACAAGTTAAAGTAAAACTGTTATTTAAAGATCAATATTAAGTCAGTCTGCCTGGTTTTAACTACTATTAGAAAGTTAGGAGGAAATAACATTTTGTATCTTTGCATAATCTAATAACTATCATGCCTTAGAAGCTGAAGAATGCCTTCAAATTCTTCTCCGATGCAATAATGCTGCACAAACCAATGAATTAAAAAAAAAGTTCTACATAACACCATACAAAAACTATTCTTACTTAAAGACTCCACAGGAGAAGGAACCACAAAAGCTATTTCCGTCAGGGCATCGGCATAATACAGCACCTTCTTCTGTCCATTGAAGATGCTAGCCCCAACATCTTCAGAGGAAATGACTTCATCTAGGAACAAGAAACACTTCATTATTGTTCAAATAGTGGGGTGACCCAGTATCAAGCCAAACATTCTGCCTCATGAAACTGCAATTAGATAATGAAGCATTAACAATTGTAGAAGGTACGTTTCCAACTAAAATCAGTTAGTGTGTATGTGAAGAACAGAGAATAAATGTTCATTAAACGCCTTTATACGAATTTTAAGTCATAAAGTCTTCATTTTAGTTTCTGAAACTACACTAAATCAAACAGAGCCTGCCTTTCACTCACTGGTATGAGGCTGGCAAAGGGAAAAATCCTTTGGAATGGTAAATAATCAAATGGAAGAACATCAGTTGCACTGGAACAAGTCAGGGTGAGGGTGCACTTCTGGTTTACAGCATTTGTGTCTCTAGTCTCCCCCTATGGGTTCTCAGAACTGCTTCTGCCTCTACCTTCCCAGTGATATAAAAATGATCAGGCAGTTTTATTAATAATAGCTCTTCTAAGAAGACCAAATTAATACAAATTAAATACAGCTAATATATGAGCTTTGGTGTGGTGCTGCAGGCTAAGTTTTGTACTGCTAACTAAAAGGTCAGCAGTTCAAACCCACCAGCTGCTCTCAGAAACCCTATACAAGGCTACTATGAGTCAGAATAGATCGTTTCAGTTGAGGCATGCACAGTATGTGGTGGAGAAGAAAATACCTTAAGTAAAGAGTAAACATTAGAAGTCCAAGTAAAACACATTGGACAACAGAGAGACCAAGATAAAGATGAAGGAAAATCTTAGATGAGAGTGGAAAACTGCGAGCAAACTGCGGGTGAGTTGGAATTTCTGTTGGAACATGGAATAGGGAGGCAATTACCAATTATGACTATGAAAGAACATGTAGGGTATCAGGACTGGCTTCCTATATGATCTTAAAATGATACTGTAAGTCATTATATTCAATATTCTTCACAAAAACCCATATACAACAATATAGTTCTCAGTTAAAATGAATAAATTGCCATATTAATAATACAGAAAATGCCAACAACCTGACAAAAGATATGAGCAAGCAGTTCTCAGGGATGAAAATATTTTTTAAAATGCTCAGACTAAATCACAAAATTAAAAATTTCTCACCTAGCAGATTGGAAAAGATAGCCAGTGATGGTGAGGATGCAGAAAACAAAAGAATTTAGACCCAGGGCTAGCAAACTTTTTTTTAAGGAACCAGACAAGAAATATTTTAAGCTTTTACAGGATGTATTGTCTGTTGTGACTACTCAACACTGCTGATACAGCATGAACATTTCAGCCACTAACATGTAAATGACAGTATGGATAAGTTCCGGTAACATGTTCTTCACAAAAACACGTGTGGGCTATAGTGTGTGGACTCTGCAAGGTACTCTGGTCTAATCTAACAGACACTGTGGCTACTGCCCAAGCACTCCACCTCTACCCTCTCTAGAGCAGCTGTGAAGTTGATGGGACTGACTGAAAACCAGCTCTAATTTCTCTATATAACAGGATCATTTCATCTCTCTTGCCACAAAGACAGGTTTGTATAGTTCAGGCCTTTGGGTGTAGAGGGGTTCTAAGACTTGGCTAATCTTACCCTTTCAGGATAGTGTATGAATATACAGCCGAGAACTGCCTTTTTTGTAGTACCACAGAAGCACATGGAAAGCAGAGTTACAGGAAAATTTCAGAGAAACAGAATACAAACACTGATCAAATGACATATGAAACTTACACAAACCTCTGGAATTTTCAGTTACATGAAGTAAGTAACCTTCAAAATTTAAGTGGGTCAGCACACCGAAACTATCACTCAATTCACGATAAAAATTTAAATGTGTGTATGTGTTCAAATAAAAGTTTTATATAACTTTAAAAAAAAATCTGAATGAGTCAGGTTTTCTGTTATTTGCAACTATAAGCATCTAACTGATATACGAAGGGCTTCAAAAAGTTCACGAATAATGGATTTTTCCCATGAACTTTTTGAAGCCCCCTTGTATTTACCAAAATGAAAAATATGTATATCTTTTTAAATGAGACCTTATATCCTTATGCTACAAGAATGAGAATTAGCCTACAGATACAATCAAGCATGTGTGTGCAAGGGTATGTGGAAATAAAATGACAGTATATTCCCAAATGTTGGTTCTGCTTTGGTTGAAACTAAAAGAAAACTACAGTACACAAATCACAATGGTATTTAATGGGAAACATTGAAAGACACTAGCACTCTTACTACTCAAAGCCATGGGCCAGGTGTTACTCTCTCCTCAGAGAGAGAATAGGAACTTTTCAATGACTTCCGGAGTCAGGTAGGGCACAGATCCTAAGTTTAAATTTATGCTTGTTCTGGTACTTGTTATCACAATTACACTTCCTTCAGAGGATTCATAGAGAATGGTAAGAAATCTCTGAGATAAGTCTGCTGTTTCCTACAAAGATTTTTACATAATATTTCAAGACTGTAACTTTTAACTGTAAATTGATGATGGCCACAAGTCTACAGAACACATCTGTTAGAGAAAACTATTGTTGTTAAATGCCATCAAGTTGGTTCCAACCCATAGTGACCCTGTATAGGGTTTTCCAAGGAGCAACTAGTGAGCTTGAACTGCCAACCTTGCAGTTCAAATGGCTTTGCAGTCTGGCCGCATTAACCCACAGTGCCACACCAGGACTCTCACAGAAAACGAAATGTGTTAGAAAACTGCATAATTTGTTATGTTGTTGTTGTTATGTACCGTGGAGTCAGTTCCGACTCACAGCAACCCTGTACAGGGTTTCCAAGGCTGGAAATCTTTACAGGAGCAGAAAGCCTCATCTTTCTCCCATGGAAGAGCTGGCAGTTTCGAACTGATGACCCTGAGGTTAGCAGCCCGACTTGTAACCACTATGCATAGGTAACCTATATTTATTAGGATATTTTTATAGGAAATTGTATTTGTTCACTCACGTATAAAAAGGCACTATCAACCTTGTGATAATTAAGACATCAATTTTATAATAATTAACCCCATCATCTTCCATAGATCATATACACAGAAAATGTCTAGAAGAGCATAAAACTATTAAATGGCCCTCAGTGATAACTGGGATTAGAAGAGGGAGACTTTTAATTTATATACCTTTGGTTTCATTTTTAAATAAGACTACAAGCTTCCAATCAAGGGGGAAATCAAAAGTGACTACTATAAGCTTTACCTTGTTCAGATCCTTCACCATCGTCACAACTGTTAATAGACCAACTCGTGGAAACATGGCCAGTCCAGCCAGGGTGTCTGCCCACATCTACTGACCAGCCAAGGGATAGCAAAAATTCTAAGAAATGTGGCTGAACAGTTCTGGAAGACTCCACGTTCTTTAAAATCTGAAACACATATCAAATATCAGCTATAATGAAGGAAACAAAAGAGTGTATTCAAACAGCCAAACAAATCTTCATTAGTTAGCTCTGAAGCTTTTGACAAATCAAGTCCAAGCTTATAATAAACACATGAATAGGGCTGGTGGTTATATGCTGTGGAGTCGGTTCTGACTCATAGCGACCCTGTAGAGGGTTTCTGAGGCTATAAATCTTTACAGGAGTTCTCCCATGGAACTTGTCACCACTACACTACCAGAGCTCCTTAAATAAAGCACTGTAAAGTCTCTTTATGAGTTTTGCATAAGATTCTTAATCTCACTAAGTCTTAAATTTCTTCCTGTGTAAAATGGGAACAATACTGAGTGTGAAGGTTAAATGAGAGAAAGCCCTTAACTCCTTCCCTGGACACAATGGGTAAATCTGAAACAATGAAACAAAACAAAAACCCAAAACAGTTGCTGTTCAGCTGATTTCAATTCAGGACAGCCCTATTTGTTTCAGAGTAGAACTGTGCTCCATAGGATTTTCAGTAGTTGATTTTTGGAAATAGATCACTAAGTCTTTCGTCTAAGGTGTCTCTGGGTGAATTCAAACCAAGTATGGAAGCTGTTTGAATTAGTCAAGATTCTAGGCACAATATGAAGGAGCATATCAAAGACACTAAGTGCCTGAGGGAGAATTATTACATGGGTATGTGACAAATTACAAATCTTGACAAGTGCTATAAAAGTACAAATCTATTAAAAATTCAATAAGTATAATCAATAAATGGTTCTTAAAATATCCTTCCCTTAGTTCAAAAAGGAGAACAACAGATGTGTCTGTACTTTCAGCAAAACTGAAGTGACCTGAAGGTTCTCTCCTCTTCACTACATATAACACCTGGGTCTTATATTGGCTTCAGAAAGTGCCATCTTTCATTCTATATCAGTATTGGGAGCAATTTTGTCCTCTAGGGGACAATGACAAAGTCTGGAGACATTTTTAATTGCCATATCTGCTGGGGTACTACTAGCATCAATTGGAAAGAGGCCAATGCTGCTGTGGAATATCCTACAATATACAGCAATATCACCCCACCCCACCCCACCAAATATCTAACCATCTATGTTTTAGTTTCTTTTGTCTTATGAACCTGAATTCCTAAGGGGAAGAAAGACAAGGTACACATTCCTTGAGGATCAAAAGAATCACAACTCTATGCATTAGAGTTTATTAATTCCATTTCTGGAATGGTTCATAACAAGTCTTTAAGCATTCAAAATAAAATATGCACCTCAGACAGTGGGAAAGAGAGCACAGTAGCTATGTAGGATAAGCACTTGACAACGAACCACACCGTCAGTGGTTCGAGCCCATTAGTCGCTCTGTGGGAGAAAGATGAGGCTTTCTGTTCCTGCAACGATTTATAGCCTCAGAAGCCCTATTCAGGGTCACTAAGAGTTAGAACTGTCTCAACGGCATTTAACAACAGTGGGCAAGCATGAACCATATAAAATTTTTTATATAGTATAAAAAAACTACAAAATATTTTGAGAATTCTTACCTCTTGGTTTGTCTTCTGACCTGGCTTCATATAGAAAATAAAAACTGTGTCAAAGGGACGACATGGCAAGAGATCCAGATACCCAATGTCATCAAAAAACCCAGGTATCGTGGAGTCAAGGGCAATAAGGTGAGGAGGTAGACGACTATTTGCAGGTTCCTACCATCAGAAGAAGAAAGGAGTAATTATTATCTTTCTTTATTCTAATTATAAAAACAATACTTGCTTATGTTTTAATAAGGATTAAAAGTAAAAACAAAATTATAAAGTTACAAGAATAAGCACAACCATATCCTAAAGAAACTAACATTCTTGCCTATTTCATTATTTTACTTGCCTTTTTTGTTGCTGTCAGGAACTGTTGAGACATATTGTGTATATGTTTTGGATCCTATTTCCTCTATTATGCCATGCTGTCTTGAACTTTTATAGGCTGTGTAGGCTTATCACATTCCCTCTTTCAGGTATTGATCTTGCCAAACAAGGTTCTGCTGACAAGAATTACTCTTTTCTCTGTTGGCAAAGATTTCTACATAGGCCTATCACACTGCAATTCTAACAGCACAATACTCTATAATCAAAGACTTCAACAGTTCTACAGTTAAGTCTAAGGATACTGACACTGAATGAACTAAGACTACTACAAAGAGCCTCCTGTCAATTCAGGACAGATGTTACCCACTAAATGATTTTGCCACAAACGTACACCAACAACAAAATTCTAGTTTACAGTGTTTACACTCAGAAATCAGGAATAAGGACTTACGAATCTGTAGAATGGAGATAGATAGCACGAGGGCTTCTATCATGGAGGGTGGCGGTTAAATGATGTGCGACACCTGCTCAGACCTGGTGGAGGTGTTAAATGAAACCCAGACCACGGAGTGGCGGGGTGAGAGGTGTCTGGAGATCACATCGATGGGGAGACGCTGCCTAGCGGGAAGAGACTGCAGGGGCCAGCCAGGCTATCTTACTTACCCCAGACGCGAGAACGCCTTCCTAACCTAACAATTAAATCATGGCTTAGAGGTGGGGTCAACCAACTTAGAGACCCACAAGCCCAGC